TAATAGATACCCTTTATTTATCTAATATTTATCCTTTATTTTGTACCAATATCTATCCTTTATGTTACTATAGATCCACCAAATAACTGTAGCAAAACAGATTAATAATGGATACATAAAAGATAGATATTGGGATGATAAAGGGATACCAGTATATATCCTTTATGTATTTATTGAACCTGTGCAGGTTGAATAAATGAATATCGGGTGCATACTGGGAGACAAGTTTCTAATATGTACCATAAATCTACCAAATACCTGCTGAATGTTAACAGCATATTGACAGCATATTGACAGCATATTCGTAAGATATCAGGAGGTAGATCGATATCGGTAACATAACAGCGCAATATTGGGATACCCTGATGGGCCTAAAAGTAAGGTATCAACGTATCCCAATATTTCGCTGTTATGTTACTGATATTGATCTACCTCCAGATATCTGCCATTATGCTGCCAACATGCTGCTGATATTCAGCAGGTATTTGGCGAATCTATGGCAGACTAACAGGTACATATCGGGAAACTTTTCTCCCTGTATGCCAATGAGGTGTAGAATAAGCCTATTGAGCCGGCACACTAGTTTGAATAGAGTAAGGATCATCCAGTGTGATATGATAGTAAAATTATATGTAAATCTATTGACATTTTTGGAAAGTTATTATAATTACTGAATTAACGTTAAGGATGAGGGGTAAAATATATTGGGAAAAATTTCATCAGTTATTAATTATGGTGTAATACTGCAATGCGTAAATATTGTTTATTGAATGGTATTAATTCAGTTAGTACACCTGGTATTAATTTAGTCAGTGCACCTTGTACCGGTACGTACGTACGAAGATTTTTTAATATTTGTAAAACAAGATTTGTGAAATAATCATTTTTTTACAATAACCTACATGTAATTTCTAAAGTCCATGAAAAAGCAATAAAAATTATTGATTAGAGTTATGAGTGATAATAAAGCAATCTTATCGGGTAGCAATCATTAATAGATCATTAAACGTGTAAAAATGCAAAAACATTTTCTATATCGTAGGCCAGAAAATTAACTAAAAAGCGAATAAAACAATAAAATTATCTATTTAAATCCGAGAATGAACATTTTTCTTAATGTTTTCTAATATATTTACCAATATATTTGTTAGTTTTTCATAGTTTCTCATTTCTTTTTTCTCTACTGCATAATAAGAACAATAACACATCAATAGCAAGCAAGAGCAAGAACAAGAACATATTCTAGTAGATTATACAAAAACGCCTTCATATTCGTGAAACATGAAGTCTACTTTTTTAACTTAAATTAGTCTGTAATATTAGATAAACAAAAAAAAAAAAACAAATTTGGCAAATTACCGTTTCACGATTTTAAGAGAGTTGTTTAAGTATGTCAATGGATTTGCTTGAGTAAATTGATTTATTTGTTGAAAGATTTGATTGGACTATTAATTTAATTTATTTGATGCCAAGTTCGATACTTAATTGCGTGTAATATTACAGTATTATAAATAAAGAGGTTTCTGAATCATCATTCAATCGATAAAAAAATAATTACTCTTAAAAATTTGTCCATCATTCACATTGCATAAATTTGCTAAATCCCTAATCCAAATTAGGTAAAATCCGTGTCTTCGATGCACTAACTTACCCAGTCGTCTTGTGTGTGTAAGCTTTATATTGAGGGATTGTGGATATCCTTTTTGCCTTGTGTGCTTGTTCCGTTATTGTTTCAACGTCGATCAGTCATGTGATATTGTTTGAAAGACGGCCGATGCTTTAGAACCCACTCGTCAAATATAAGCGCCTTTTTCGATAGCTCGTCTTTGTCTGGTTTATTTTGGACCGAATAACACACTTTCCAGTTTAACAATATGAACGTACAAGAACAGCTCGAAAACTCTGTGCTATGTGATGTGCAAGCCAATCAGATTGCTGCACTAACACAACGTATGTTTATCCTTTTTTTAAAATTTGAATTTAATTGAAGGTTTCTCAACGACTCTCTGAACTTTAATGAAATATCATTATAATTCTTGTAGAATTAGAATAAAAAATTTCATTGAACTTGTTCCGGCAGCTTCAAGAAATACCCACTTCAAATTTTTTTAAAAAACGTTGAATATCAGAAAAAAGACTGCAGCGTATTTTTTTAAACTTCAAACGAAACTTTCTCGATTACTACCAGATAATTTCTATAAAACCTTTTATTTTAATTTAATTCTATAAGTTTGCAGAATTTAAATAAAGAAATTTTTACCGAATTTGATCAGGTAATTATTGAAATATACTTATTTTAGGTTTAATAAGGTTGCAACACCTACATATAAATTTTTTGAAACCCTAATCGAATATTTCCGATAGTTAACTGATCTATTCCGAAGAATTTAAATAAAATATATCGAGTTTGGTATGGTAGCAACCTTAATTCCTAAGATATTCAACGTTTTTTTTTAAAAAAAAATTTTAAAGTGGATATCTCTTGATAGCTGCCGGAACAAGTTTAATAAAAAAATTTTTTTATTAAAATTGTTTGGGTATTCGTTGAGAACCTTTTTTTTATCAAAATTTTTAAAAATATAAGATATATAGCCTATATACAGTATCTTATATGATATTTGTCATGTCCAACGGTGTGTGTGGTCTGACATTGGACATGACATCATATCATGTGAGCTTAAGCCAATCAAAGATCAGGATTTTTCGATCACTTTTTTCGATCGACTTTTTTTTTTAGTGTGATGATAATTTGGCCAATCAGAATTTTTTGCCTGTCCAAATCTGGTTCAATGATCTAATTGTTGGACGGCCAATATCCTGTATATAGGTACGTTATGTACGTTGTCGATCGTATGTTAGTCCAGCATTTTTCGGGTCATTTCTAAACTCACGTGTAAATCATCAGGTTTAATTTCACAATTATAGAGAATAAACTAAAAGATTCAGAAAAATAATTTAAATTTACTGTATTCAAACTAGATAGATGAATTTATACAATAAAGTATTGTAATGCATTCGAATCCAATTTGGTGCATACAAGAATATATGTATGCTGTCAAGGGAAAGCCCGTAAGTACGTACATACGTAAGTACAAATTTAAATTTCGCCACTCGGATCTCCGAAAATTGAGACATTGCGTAATTTAAATTACGTATGATCTCTTTGGTACGCAAATAGATTTATGTGCATTCAAAATAATATCGCAAAGATTAGAAAATATATTTCATATCAGAATTTTATGATCGGTATATCTGTATAGTAAAATTTCAAAATTGGTACAATACTTATAAGTCTTTTCTTAGCAGCACTTATATGCAAGTATATTTTTATATAATGAATTTTATTTACTTAAAGTGGTACTGACATGTGAACGATGATAAAATTTTGTTTGAACTACAGTATTAAATTCTTTTTGTGATTTATAATTTATTATTCGCAGTTGAAAGTTATTATATGTAACACTCAGTGATCAAAGATTCAATTGAATTAATGATCTCTAATACTTTTAAATATAATGATCTCGACGAAAATAGAAATGCCAAACTTTGATCATGCACGTAATTATTGTTGATTATCTTATCTTTGATCAAATTTTGCAGATCGCACTCACACGTACAATCACTTGATTGTTGTCTGATTGCGCGACTGTATGAAGCTATTTTTGAGAATTTAAATGTTATTTTGAGGATATATGGACACAAGAAAGGCATAACTTATAAAAATATTTACTTGCATAGAACTTTTTTAAGAAACCACTTTACAATAGCACAATCGTATGAAGTCAAGTGAATGTACAGTACATCTGCAAAATTGATAAAGATACATCATTCTGCAAACAGCACGCAAAGTCTTCTATACAGGACCTGTATAAAGAAATACAAAGGATATAAAGTATTAAAACTAGTAAAACAGGTGCTGTTAGTGTCCGAAGCTAATACGTAATATTAACGAGAATGGATTTTCATCTTGTCGTGTCGATCTGTTATATTAATTTAAACGTGTTCACTTAAGTGGAGCCCAATACATTTTGTGTAATTACGTCTCTATAGTAAGTCCTCGCTATGCTTCGGACAACAAGGCTCTTAAATAACCCTTTTATTACGCATACAATATTTTTTTAAATTAATTTGTATTACTATTTATTATTATTTGCAAAAATTAGAACGTGACAACAACACAACACTTTGGTTAATATTTTCATTTATTTTTAAACTTTAATTACTAAAAATAATTGGTTAAAAAAAGTAAAGTACAATATAAAAAATTTACAATTAAATAAAGCGTATTTCATCAATATTTGTATTAATAAACAAATATATTACATAAAATTGGTTTCTCAAATTCTAGGCAAAATATAATGCAGATATGGAACATGACTGTTTTGAATAGTACTTGCGAAACCACTGCCACGATTGCTTTACTATAAATAACTTATTGATCGGATCATCGTAATTAATAATTAGTACGAGTATCCTAATTCGTTCGTAAAGATCAATTAAATCTCATCTTTTTTTTTTTTTTTTTAATACTTCATTATACGAAAAAAATTAGATTGTTTTAATGCTGTAATGTACTTAAAACTTTTCCATTCAAAGATTCCTAATAAATCATAGTATATAGGATCATACCGATATAATAATTTAATAATTTTAATTAATTGTTATAAAAATAAACGTGTAACCTTATCTTACGACGTATTGGTTTGTCCATTATACAGTACAATCATATTGCAAGACTCCAAAGTTTGGGTCAGGTCACGTATAAGATTAAGTGTGACTAAGACACAAAAAACGTGCGTTAATGTTGTAACACGAACCTTTTCCTAATTTGGTTTTTGGTTTCGATTACAATGATTACAATTGTCATACTACATGTTAATACTTATGTTCAAAAACAAATAAAGCCTTTCAATATTGCTATCATTGGTAAAAATTTTTCCCATCAAAGATGGGGTTATGTAATAGTAAAGTTAGAAAGGGTAAAACTCCACTTCCTCCTAAAAATAACGGAATAGAATCTGGAGATACTAATACGTCGAACGATCGTGATTCTAATATATTTCATTTCGAAGATGGTAGACGATACCATAATGTAGAAAATGCAGTATATTTTTTACCTAATGATGACGATGAATGTGACAGATTACATTTACAGCATTTCCTAGAGAGATATATTTGGCAGAGCAACTTTTTCGCCCCGGTCAATAATCTCCTTAACCAAGAAGGTACAATGGTTTTGGATGTAGGGTGAGTTATACTAATAGTAACAACAACAACAACAACAACAACAACAACAATAACAATAATAATAATAATAATAAATAATAATAATAATAATGAAAATAATAGTAATGATTCATAAAATTAATATTATATTATTTTAATAATTGTTTTAGAACAGGTGCTGGCTCTTGGTTACTCGAGATGTCAACTAATTATCCAAGAGCAAAATTTATTGGAATTGACATTTCTCCAGTTCAACCAGACTTTATTAAACCTAAAAATGCTGAATTTATTACAGCAAATGCATTAGAAACTTTACCATTTGATAATAATACGTTCGATTATATATTTCAACGAATATTATATGTTAGAATTCCTGGAAAAGATTGGCCATCAGTGGTTAATGAACTAGTTCGCGTATTAAAACCTGGTGGTTATATAGAGGTTTGCTTTATTTATATTAAATGTATTACAGTATTAAAATTTGTTAAAACTGGTTAATTTTAATTTTTTTTAGTTAATAGAAAACGACTTTCAATATAAAAGTATGGGTCCCGCAACAGAAAAGCTTATTAATGGCAGTAAGAATCATATTATTTTATTAGTTATGGTAATCTTTTATCGCATAGAGTTCATAATTTTACAAATGCTTTTTTAACATTTTTTTTTTAATGGTTCTATTTTTATTTTTTATTTTTTTTTAGTATTAATTATGTTTGATGAACGCGGTTTAGATCCAATGGTATGTTATAAATTACAAGACTTCTTAGAAGAGCATGATCAACTTCATAATGTTCACTGTGAAATAAAGAATGGCATAGATGGTGAAGATGGTAAAAAAATATGTAAATTGGTAATGTACAAATTTTTATATAATAAATTTATTGCTTATATTGTATATTAATCAGTAAAAATGGTGCTATTTTATTATATAATGCTATTTAGTCGCAAGAAAATTATACTACTGTTCTCATGACTATGAAGCCAAAACTTATGAGTATTATTGAAGTTACTAGTTGTGAATATGACAATTTGGTTAAACAAATGGGAGATGAATTAGTGGAACTAGAATCTTTTAATCCTCGAGTACGTGTTTATGCTCAGAAAAAAATATGATAAATGATATTACAATATCTTAAAATTAAATTACAATAGCGACATTAAAATTAATTATGCAAATTGAAATAATTAAGTTATTATATATAATTATGTAATATTATTAAAAAATTAAATATATTCTATTTTATGATATACATATTACGATAATTATTATTATTAGGCAATAGCCGCAGTAATGTGTACCATAATTAACATAGGTGCCGCACAATGCGCGGCAGATCCTCGATTTTGATTGGCTAAGAGCGACGATCAAAAAATTAGGCCGGAATTACTCATAATTTTGCTAATGAAATCGCAGCCGCCCACTAAGTGAAAATTGTTCCTGGGTCAATTTTACCATGTTGCGTGCTTATTTTTTAAAAATTTCTATTTTTGTAATGAAAAAATTAAAAAGTTAATTCCGGCCGGAAATTAGTACAAGCCGTAAGGTTTTTATCGGCTGGCTAAGCCAGCCGATAAAAAATTCGGCTTAGTGGCTGGCTAATGGCTAAGGTAAACACAAAATTTTTATTTCGGAAGATATCGGAAATTACTCCAATTTTTTTTCTCAACCTTGCTCGTCTTTGATATTAGTTCATTTTTTCTTCGGAAATTTACGGATCCTTGCTTTCTGTTTTTTAATTCTGACTGACATTATCGTTCTGGCCTAAATTATACTACCAAAGCCATGTGACCTTAAACCATATTACATCGGCTGGCTTAGCCGCGACTGCCCCAGCCGGCTTGTAACACTATGTGTACCATAGCTACCGCAACAAAATTGGACTGGCAGATCCTCGATTTTGATTGGCTAACGGCCGAGGATCTTCAAAATTTTGGCCCACATTATAAAATTGTTTACTAATTTCCGGCCGGAATTATCTTATTAATTTTTTTTTTTTACAAAATAGAAATTTTTAAAAATAAGTTGGCATTATGGTAAAATTGGCCCAGGAACAATTTTCACTTAATATGCAGTTGTGATTTCATTAGTAAAATTACGAATAATTCCGGCCTGATTTTTAATTATCGCTCTTAACCAAGAATAGTGATGGATTGGTCTGGGACTGGACGGTGAAAGACTAAGGACTGGATAATTCTGTCCTCACTCCGGAATTGCCTGGTCCTGGTCCTGAATTATGGTCTAACGATGACTAATACTACTGATAAAAAAGCCGATAAATTAATATAAAGAAACAACACAAATAATAATAATAATAATAATAAAACTTTTATAACCTTTCTAACCATGTTTCCATCTTTCAATATTTTTCAGTGTGATAAATAAGTGTCGAAGTTTCAATTTCTAATGAAATAACAACCAAAAAATAAATACAAGAGCTAGATTAGAAGGCGAAGGCGAACTTGCAATGGTGATTCTATGTTTAAAAAGTTGGCTTCAAAAAGAAATTTATAAATTGAACAGTTAAACATCCCTGTGCTCAATTTTTTATATTAAATTAGCTTCATATATAAATACATATTCATATTTAACCTGCACTGTAGTGCATCGCCCTTGAATTTTTTTTAATTTTTGATTATTTATATAGATATATAATAACATTATGTTAATATAAAAGCAATATTATATATAAAATTGTATAAAAAAACTTACTTAATAAACAAAAGATAGGTTTCTTGGTAAAAAAAAGTTATACTATGGTTAAAAAATTCTTTAAACTTTAATATAATGATAGCTTATTTTTACTACTTTTGCTTTTTAAGTAAACTTGTTTAGCAGATTAAATACACTATAGTATTATATTTGTAATTTTTAAACTTTTTACTAATACAAAAGTTCAATTAATTGATTTTATTAATATTTTGTCTAAATTTTGATGTAACATAACACAAAACATCGCTATTTTTATTGGATAAATTAGGATGCAGGTGCATGAAAAACTTAAACCCTAAAAATTTAATATCAGTATTTTTTATAATACAAATTTTTAAAAATTTGACCGCTAATAAATAAAAATTTTAATGCTATGCATTTAAAAATTATAAGTTGTGGGATCGATTCTAGGACCGAAAAGATGGACCGACCGGATTAATAACCATTATGAAGTTGGTCTTACAGTATAGGGACTAGGACTGACCGGGACGGATCGATCCATAATTCTTGAATATGTGCCAGGTTGATGGCGATCTCTTTTATTTCAGTATATATAATGCATTCATAAAATTCCTTTTTCAACAAAACCTTCACCATGTGTTTCATCAACTGCCCTGTACTTTGAATGTTTCTTTTGTGAATTGAAGACATAACAGAAATAATATAATTTTTAAAATTTTTAGTTTATTATCCCTTAAACCATCAGGTTTAGCAGCCAAATATGGCCGCTAAAATTTATAAACAGTTGCATTGATCTAATTTTATTAAATAATAAAATATTTAAAAAAAATTTTACATAATAATATTTGAAAATAAGGATTACAAAATAGTAATATTTATTTTTAAATT